ATATATATAAATATATAAATAAATAAATATATAAATATATAAATATATAAATATATAAATATATAAATATATAAGTATATAAATATATAAATATATAAATATATATAAATATATAAATATTATTTGGCTGTGTGGTTTCCGACAATTAAATAAAATTTTCTCATAATAGAAGAAGAAGCATATTCTGTTATATTTTTGTCAAAGAGGCCCACCGTGTCAGCGTTAAAAGAAATCCACGAAGATGACCTGTTTTCACACATTTAGAAGCAAATAGAAACGAAAAGAATTAAAGGAAAAAGAGAAGAAGGACGTCGAAGGAATAATTACCGAAATTTGCAGCCCTTGAAAGTGTTCAGTAAGCACTCATCGGCTACGGCGACGATGTTATTAGCCCCGTTGAAGCACTCGCTGATGGTTGGTCATCAAAGAACCGATTGATTCTCCTGCTGCTTCGTTACCGACAGCTCGGTGTAGATTGTTGACCATCCGCTGTTCGTCACCTTGTGGTTGTCGTCACTGACGGATATTGACTGTGAATTCTGACGATCATCCGCCTGCCTGATAATAGACCTCGGATACCTTGAGAGGCTACTGTATGTTGTCTGCGTGGGGACCGACTTCCGGCCGCAATGATTAGACAGCATCGACTGAAATTAAGGTGCTTTTTAAGGCGCCTAATTAACGTGCTTTTCCCATTAAAAATGCTTCAACGCTTTGACTGCCGCGTCACCCGTATGTAAGAGTTCTTTTTGAATTCTATTATTATTATTGAAGGATTATTTAAGAATTATATATTATATTATATTATATTATTATATTATTATTATATATTATATTATTATATTATTATTATATATTATATATATATTATATATTATATTTATATATATATAATATAGAATTCTATTATTATTATTATTATTATTATTATTAAAGGAATATTTAAGAATTATATATTATATTATTATATTATTATTATATTATATTATATATTATATTTATATATATAATATAGAATTCTATTATTATTATTATTATATTGTATTATATTATATGAAAAAGTTAATCCGTTCTTCTTTCTCGATTCTATTGAAATTCGCAAGAGGCAGGAATGCCAAAAAAAAAGGTAACTATATACACTAACATACCTTGAAAGCTTCCCGGAATTTTTTGGACATGATGTTGTACAGAACTGGATTTACCGTGGTGGAGAGATAATAAAATATCCCGGAGACGTACGTGAGGATGGAGTAAACGATCACCAACGCATCCTCCGGTTCCTCCTTGTTGATTTGCGAACCGTACACGGCCAAGAGTCTTTGAGCGTGGAACGGTGCCCAGCATATGAAGAATGCCACAACCACTGCTACTGTAACGGCGAAGAAAAATAGTTCTAGCTTCCTTTTCAAGTCGTCGGTACATTTATTTCACGCCAGCTTTATACGGCTGTACGTAGTTCATTTAATTTGTAAATTACAGTAATGTGTCTCCTTAATCGACGCTCGGATTGTCCACGAAAATGGACAATTTTGGGAAAGGAGATACGATTTTTCGATCCTTGTGGCTCGTTTCTTATGGTTATCGATTGTCAGCAATTAAATTGCAACTATAAAAACGAGTTGCAAGGCTCGAATAATCGTATCTCTTCTTCTCAAATTGTTCATTTTTGTCCACAATCCGAGCGTCAATAAGGGAGACATTACTGTATTTGTAAGTTGTCGTTCTTAAATCGCGCAATCGTTGCATTATCGTTGCATTCTGGGCGTCAGTAAGGGAGACATTACTGTATTTGTAAGTTATCGTTCTTAAATTGCGCAATCGTTGCATTCTGAGCGTCAGTTAGGGGGAGACATTACTGTATTCGTAAATTATCGTTCTTAAATCGCGCAATCGTTGCATTATTTTGCAACTGCTTCTAAGACGAGCGCAGACAGCTGCACGTACAAAAGTGCAATTTTCGTTACAGGCTCGGTTAAAAAAAAGATTTGGAAAGAAACATCATTTTTTAATTTTTTTATCGTTCCAACGAATCGCGACCTGAAAGAACTTCTCGTAAGCTCATTTCACAGAAAACTAGTCGGTCTAGCGTCTCGAAAAAAAATTCACGTCCTTCGAATCGATTTAAAAAAAGGTTAATCCGTTTGAAGAGGCGTCAACGCACTTTCCGTGGCGACTGCTTTTATGTCTTGTTTACGCGATGCTAGCAAAAACGATGCGATAAAATCGGGAAACGAGGTCGACAGAACTTTAGAGAATTCGAATCTCTACTCTCTTACCCAACATATGAATCACGTTTCTTTGCGCGGCGCTCTTTCCCCTGCCGCTGTCACAGTGCGTCAGTCCCGTCGACGGATGGGATGTCTTTTTAACGGGGCCGGTGGTCAGCAGTCTCGATCTTCTGAGTTGGATGCCGATCAAGATGTATAAAATCGTGATCATTGTCATAGGCACGACGAAAAATAGCATGGTCGATATCTGGAAGGCGTGCTCTATCAGAACCCACTTCACCGAGCATCTGGCGCTGTCCAAGATGACCGATCCGTTCATGTGCTCGTAAACAATACCGAACTGGATCGCTTGCGGCACGGCCAGGCAGAGCGCCAGCACCCAAATCACGATGACAAATTTGATCGCCCGGGACAATTTGGACATTGTGTGGGAGATGATGGGATGACAGATCGCGACGTACCTGAAAAAAGAGAGAGACTCGTGCTTCTGGAACGGATTTTTCTTTCTTGAAACGTGAATAACGGCGCCGTGTCACACTTTTATTACAGTTATATAGTCTACTAGGTATATATTTTGTAGAGAATATTAATATTAATCTCTACTAAATTATAATAATTTAGTAGAAAATAGAAGCGTGACAAATGTGCTATAGCGGACTATATATCTAGTATACTATATAGAATACTAGATATATTTTTTTATATTTATATTTTGTAGAGAATATTAATATTAATTTCTACTAAATTATAATAATTTAGTAGAAAATAGAAGCGTGACAATTGTGCTATAGCGGACTATATATCTAGTATACTATATAGAATACTAGATATATTTTTTTATATTTATATTTTGTAGAGAATATTAATATTAATTTCTACTAAATTATAATAATTTAGTAGAAAATAGAAGCGTGACAATTGTGCTATAGCGGACTATATATCTAGTATACTATATAGAATACTAGATATATTTTTTTATATTTATATTTTGTAGAGAATATTAATATTAATTTCTACTAAATTATAATAATTTAGTAGAAAATAGAAGCGTGACAAATGTGCTATAGCAGACTAGATCTCTAGTATACTAGATATATAGTATACTAGTATACTAGATATATAGTCTGCTATAGCACATTTGTCACGCTTCTATTTTTCTTATTGCTCGAGAAGACATGATGTTTCGTTTTACGAATTTCACAACTATTTCGTTGTGTCGTGTTGGATGAAATGTAACGTTCGCAAAGAATATATGCGTTTTGGCAACGCGCCGCCAAAAGCGGATGATCCATCGGTATAATATTTATTCGCATTGAAACAGCAATTTCTCCTTTTCTTCGAAGTGCATCGATCTATTGTCGATCTATTTGATTAGGGAGAATTTACTGTAAATAGAAACCATTAAAAGGTCCCAGAACGTTTTCCACCCCTGCTTAACGCACTCGTCGGCGAAGATTGGTACAAGTCGACGTGTCCCGGTGCGAACTATGACCGGACGTTATTTCTACGGCATGTTTTACGGTAGGAGAAACGGCAAGAGTTCGCAGTCAATTATATTCACGATGTTCTGCGACCATTCGAGTGCTATTTCACACGGTCAGCGAAAAACTGAAAGCCTTCGCGAGTCACCAAGAATAACGTGGCGCGACAGGAATTACATGTTCAAGCATCTCTCGTTACGCCTCTAATAAGTTCCAGCCGACGGTTGCTCGGCTCGACACTCCGGGAACTCGGAAACGCGAAAGAGTCCCGGACTCTAGACGCGCGGAAAGTCTGCCGCGCCCGGAAAGAAACTACCATCCGGGGG